ACGGGGGGGACGGACGGGGACGGACTCAGGGTGGCTTCCAGCCAGCAACGATTCGATGCCCCCATGTACACGTAATAAAATCCATAATAAAAACCAATAATTACGTACAGTTAAAAGATTAAGTCAATTCAATTAAAATATGTTTAAGTGGAACAGCCTTGAGGCCTTATCTGTGGCCGGAGATTCCATCAAGGTTGTCCGTAGTCGATTACCAATAATAATAATAATAATAATAATAATAATAATAATAATAATAATAATAATAAACATTTATTACGGTCAACGACCAGCATCAAAAAGGTACAAGTGACAGGGTGTGCAAGTGTCAGAGTACGCACACATGTACAAGCACATGTACAGAAGTATACAAGCATTAGGTTACACACACATCCGGGTATCAGGAAACAATGTTAAAACAGAGTTTAAAACCCAATATTAAATAAGGTAATTAAAGTGGGGTTAAACATTTAAATACTAAGATAATAGCCCATTACCTTAGCAATTGTCATCCTTGTCATTCTCAGCATAATTACCCGAAGGCCTGGCCCCACATCCATGTTTTCAACTTATTTCTGAAGGAGAGGAGGGAAGACAATAACCTAATTTCCCTGGGGAGCGAGTTCCACAGGCGGGGGGCCACCACCGAGAAGGCCCCGTCCCTCGTCCCTGCCAAGCACATTTGCAACAAAGGCAGGGCCGAGAGTAGGTCCTCCCCAGAAGATGGGACGTAGAAGGAGATCCGTTTGGACAGGTACGCTGGGCCGGAACCGTAGAGGTCAAGAGCAGCACTTTGAATTGTGCTCGGAACTGGATCGGCACAATTCAAAGTGCCGGTCTTGACCTATAAGACCCTCCTTGGCCACGAAAGTGTGTCATGGTTTGGGCTTTGGGAGTAAGGCACACTCTCTCAGCAAACTCGCTCTGAACAGAACTTGCCAAGAAAATAATAGTAGTAGTAGTAGTAGTAGTAGTAGTAATCTTTATTTATACCCCCAAGTGGCACGTTGCAAGACGATGAGGTCTTGCAACGTGCTCTTATTATTTATTTATTTGTAACCAGTCCATTTCCCAATACGTTTTGCCTCCCCGTGTCTCCACGTTTGACCATGTTTCACGAAGGGGCATCCAGTCTTCTATCAGGTTGCCCGTTGTTTCAAGCAGCAGGCCCTTCCTCCTCCTCCTCCTCCTCCTTGTTTGTACTCAAGAGAGAGAGAGAGAGACCATCCAAACGTGGCCTTGGAGTCTGAGCTGGAATGGGTCAGTCCTTGTCCTCTGCAGGCAGTTTGGGATTGGGGCTCCGTGGATGCCATTTAGGGGGCTTTGGAAGAGGAAAGCCCTAAGGGGGGGGGGTTTGGGGGAGGCCCAGGAGGCACCCCCCCCCAACCACCACCACCCCTCACTTTGCTCTTTGGAGCACTTAATACGCCAAACAAAATATGCCAATCATGCCTGCTTCCTGCTCTCATTTGCTGTTTGAGGGTGAGTTGGACAAGAGGGGGGGCTTTTCCTGCCTCCCCTGGGTCTCTTTAGCCTTAAGAACGGGCCTTCGTGCATGCGCAACAAAGTGAAAGCCATATGGGAAGTCTGATCTGGCCCGTACCTTGGGAAGTCTGATCTGGCCACTGTGGTCCACGCTCTTGTTACATCCCGAATAGACTACTGCAACGCTCTCTACGTGGGGTTGCCCTTGAAGACTGTTCAGAAATTTCAATTAGTCCAGCAGGCGGCAGCCAGATTACTCACCGGAGCGTTATACAGGGAGCACACCACCCCTCTGTTATGTCAGCTCCACTGGCTGCCGATCCAGTTCCGAGCACAATTCAAGGTGCTGGTCTTGACCTATAAAACCCTGTACGGTTCCGGTCCAGTGTATCTGTCCGAACGTATCTCCTGCTACGTCCCACCTCGGAGTTTGAGATCATCTGGGGAGGCCTTGTTCTCGACCCCACCACTCTCACAAGTGAGGCTGGTGGGGACGAGGAGCAGGGCTTTCTCAGTGGTGGCCCCTCACCTGTGGAACTCACTCCCCGGGGAAATCAGAGCATCACCATCCCTCCTCTCCTTCAGGAGGAGGGTGAAGACTTGGTTATGGGACCAGGCCTTTGGGCAACCAGGCAATTAAAGACCAGCAGGATTGACGAAATGGTATTAAAAGCAGATCTATGAGACAGCAAACACTGACAATGTAAGGGAAGAATTAGGTTTGTATTGATTTTAATGATTTTATTGATTTTATTGGAATGATGCATGAAGCTGTTGGTAACTGTGAATTTGTTGTAATTTGTGAGGATTGTTGTGATGCAGGCATCTAATCGTGCCTTTACTGTGTAAGCCGCCCTGGGTCCCCTTCGGGGTGAGAAGGGCGGGGGGGTAAAAGAACCCCCAAATAAATAAATAAATAAATAAATAAATATGTTCTATTTCAGGGGAGGCAATGGAAGTGTTGTGGTGGCTGAGTTTCCTTGCTCAAAGGCTTAAGGCGCAAGGCAATGCAGAGTGGGAGTGTTGTGGGCTCCCTGGAGCCGTGGGGGGGGGGGACACGGGGGACGACTGCCCTCCTCAAGGAGCGTGTCCTTGCTGATCTCGAGGGCCCCCACCCCACCCTCCTTGCAGGGACTTGGTTGTATGTTCCAGGGCGTCACACGGACTCCTTCCGCGCCTTCCTTCCTTCCTTCAACACGCCTGCTGTGGGCTTCTTTCTTGATCCGGAAGAGGGGGGGCCGCGGGGACGGGCTCGGCTCCTCTTTCCGAGGCCTGTCCTGTGCTAACCGTCTCCTTCCCTCTCCCTCCTTCCTTCCTTCTTTCCTTCCTCTCTCTCTCTCCTCCCTTTTCCTCTTCTTTTCCTCTTTTGCAGAAGGAAGTAGAGCAGAGCTTCAGGTGATAGACTGTCCTTTGTGCCCCTGTGTCTCCGCTTGTGGCCCCCAGCCCCACGGCGGTGACGCTGGCGGTGTTTCTGCATGGCGCACTGTGCGCACTTACTTGTCCCTCGGTCGCTTGGCCTGGGCATCTGGGACCCCTCCCCAACACTCCCCCTCCCCAGCTTAAGCATGGCTTCTGCCCCTTGGGAGGAAGTGCAGATGATGCGGATGATGGTGCTGCTGCTACCTGTGTCTCTGTGAGCATGGATCCCTTTTGTGGCCGTTGACTTGGGCAAAAGAGGCCGGTCTCCCACCTGCCGGTCACTTCCTTGCTGCTTTTGCAGAGGTTTCACTCCACTCCTTGCCATTTCTAGCAGTGACGTCCATGGGCTGCGTGCAGTTCGGGTGAATTGGGCTGGGGATTCTTGTGGGCTTGAGTCATGGTGCAAGGGGGGGGGTGCAGCCATGGTGGAATGGCAATAACAGCCATATCACGCATGAGCTGCCCCTTCCTTTTAGGTGAAAGCGCATGTGAAGTTTTGGTTGGGGAAAGCCAACCCGGATGCATCTGAGAGGGAGAAGCCTGTTTCGTTGCCCCCCCAAAAGTCACACATCAAGGCAATCTCTTCCGACTTCTTTGTGTGGCAGGATTAACAAGCCAACAGGATTTTCTCTTCTGCAGAAGTTGGGGTCACAATGGAATGGTATGGGGGGGGGGCAAGAGCAGGCGCTGACCGCCCCATTGTGTCCAATTGAGTCACTTGGGGGGAGGGGTCCCGTTAGGATAAGCATGTCACGCACACCAAAGGCTCATGGATGTGGAATGCATACAACAGTGTGGGCCCTGGTTCACCTGCAGACCAGGAAGAAGTGCCTTTGGGAATGGCTCCCTTTGCACACCCCCCACCCCCCAAGTGTCTTTGGGGTTTGTGGTTAAAGGACGTGGCTGCCCTTTGGGGTCACCATTTGGGGTCACAATGGAATGGTACTGAAGTGGGGGGGGGGACTTGGAAAGGCTCAGCTTGCAGCCACTGCATTGGCCCAGGAGCAGGCGCTGACTGCCCCATTGTGTCCAATTGAGTCACTTTGGGGGGGGGGGGGTCCTGTTAGGATAACACACCAAAGGCTCATGTGCATATAATGGTGTGGGACCTGGTTCACCTGCAGACCAGGAAGAAGTGCCTTTGGGAATGGCTCCCTTTGTGCCCCCCCCCAAGAGTCTTTGGGGTTTGTGGTTAAAGGACGTGGCTGCGCGGTCCTGGTCCCTGCCCTCCCCTCAGGCACACTTTCTTTCCCTGGTCATGGGCCAGGATTGTGGTGCCACCCAAAGTGCATTGCTCTCTGTCGGTTTGCTTTGGCGCCCCACATTCTGGCGCCTTCCTCTGCCCATTTTGCATTGGCCTTGCTTGGAAATCTCCCTCACCTGTCGCAGGTTCGACCCTGGCTTACTGCGGATGCTCCCTTCCCTGCAATCGCTGCACCACCTCGCAAGCTTTTTGCAGTGGCTTCAGCCATTTGCCTTTGTTTACTAGAAGAAGAGGCGTTTGGTCAACGCAGCCATTGTCAAGCATGGGAAGGTATTGGGATCCTGTGTCTCCCTTTCCTGAGCAAGTCAAGTGTTGTTCCTGAGTTGGGCTGCGCTCATGCAAGCGGGGTCCCACACGCGGGGCTTTCTGGCTTTCTGCTTTGATGTGCCAGAGCCCCGCGGAGGCCCCGCTCCTGCTTGCATTACCTCTGGGTCACGTGCTTTGTGCAGGTTTCAGGGGAGCAGAAAAGGGAGGGGGCCAAAGGTTGGCCTGACGGTTGCGTGTTCAATTTTGCATTTCGACTGGCGTGGAGGTTCCTTGCAAAATTATGTGAACATGAGGCTGGCTCTGTGGCCCCGGAATGGCTGGTTGAGGGGTCTGACCCGTAGCCTCCCGTGTGGAGGGCCCCTCCCCATGTGTGAGCTCCCTCCTGCCTGCCTGCCTGCCTGCATGCACTGAGTCCACCCGTGTCTTTGACCCGGCGCCCTCCCCGCAGGGGTCTCGTAAGGCATGGCTGCCCCTTCCTTGCACGGAATGCCTCTCTCTGGCCCCGCTCTCCACTCTCCTGGCTGCATCACACTTGGCCCAACTTAACTCTTATTCTCCATCATTCCAGGGCCAGGAGGATGGCGACCCGTCCAAGTCACCGTGGTTCAAAGGAGGGTAAGTGGGCCTTGGGGGCTTCCTGGGTGACCCTGTCGATCCTGCAATCCATGCCAAGTGTTGTTAAAGGACTTCATGGCTGGAATCATTGAGTTGCTGTGAGTTTTCTGGTGAAACTGTCAGAGTATTGACGTTCGCCAGCGGAAGGATTGCTAGATCAGCAGACACTGTGTTCCAGAAATCAGGACTCTGCAAGATTTTAGTTACAACAGAACACTAAGTTTACTAAGTACATCTATACACGTCTATTCACAGCAAGAATCAGGCAGGAACTACAAAGCACAACACAACAGTTTCTGAACATCTGCTTATCTGACTTTCTGGCTGAGACCAGATCCTCCCACTTCTTCCCAGCCAGAGAACCCGTTATCTCATTTCTGTCAAGGTTACATTTTCTCTACCTCTCACAGTATTTCTAATACACAATTGAGCAGAATAGAATCCATCTTGAAATACATAGAAACACATTGCAAAACACGCATGCATAACTCAATAATCCTGACAGAAACATCAGGAGAGAATGCTTCTGGGCCATGGCCAGGCAGCCCGGAAAACTCACAGCAACTCAATCCATGCAAATCCTTCCGCAGGCTCAGCCAGATCTGGGGCCAGTTTCCCAGAAGCGGCTGGGGAGGCAACCTTCTGTCCTCCTTGTAGGGGTTTTGGACTCCAACTCCCACCATTCCTCACAGCCTCAGGCCCCTTTCTTTTCCCCCTCAGCCGCTTCAGCTAGATGATAGAATGATAGACGTAAAAGATGCCTACCTTCATATACCCACAAATAGATATAACGCTTAAGCGGCTGAGGGGGAAAAGGAAAGGGCCGGAGGCTGTGAAGAATGGTGGGAGTTGGAGTCCAAAACACCTGGAGAGAAAGAAGCGCCAAGTTGTAGGTGTGTCAATGTTGTTATGTGTTACATTAGTGTGTTTGCACTTGATTTGACGTAGGCTCTGGAACGCTCCCCTCCCGCCCGCCCACCCACTTATTTGCCTGCCTTCGGAGCCACGCAACCCACTCCAATAATATTGAAAATGCAGTGGCAGCTTCCATGCATGATACTGTTCACCTGCAGACGGCAGGGAGATGTCTCCCTACGCACTGCTGAAGTGTGTAGGTGGGTGGGCAGGCAATGGGATGCTCGCTTCTTCCATTTTTTCTGGAATTTCAGCCACTTTCCCTGCAAAAAAAGGGGAGGGGGTTCCTTGCAGAAAGTGTCTGTGTGGGGGGTGGGGTGGGGTGGGGGGTATTTTAATAAGAAGATGCTGATGATTATATGTTTTTAATGGTTTTGTATGGTTTGTATATTTATATTGTATTGTATGTTTGTTGTGGCATTGCGTTGCTGCCTACTTGTAAGCCGCCTTGAGTTGCTTTTGGGTTGAGAAAGGCAGGATATAAATATGATAAATAATAATAATAATAATAATAATAATAATAATAATACATCTATAATGTTTGTTTGTGGCATGAACATAACTCAGAAACCACTGGATGAATTGACACCAAATTTGGACACAAGACACCTAACAACCCTATGTATGTCCTTCGCTCAAAAAAATTGATTTTTGTCATTTGGGAGTTGTAGTTCTTGGAATTTATAGCTCACCTACAATCAAAGAGCATTCTGAGCTTCACCAATGATGGAATTGAACCAAACATGGCACACAGGACTCCCATGATCAACAGAAAATACTGGAAGGGTTTGGTGGGCAGTGTCCTTTGGTTTTGGAGTTGTAGTTCACCTACATCCAGAGAGCACTGTGGACTCAAACAATGATGGATCTGGACCAAACTCTACAGGAATACTCAATATGCCCAAATGTCAACACTGGTGGAGTTTGGGGAAAATAGAATCTTGACATTTGGGAGTTGTAGTTGCTGGGATTTATAGTTCACCCACAATCAAAGAGCATTCCAAACTCCACCAATGATGGAATTGAACCAAACATGGCACACAGGACTCCCATGACCACCAGAAAATACTGGAAGGGTTTGGTGGGCAGCGTCCTTTGGTTTTGGAGTTGTAGTTCACCTACATCCAGAAATCATTGTGGACTCAAACAATGATGGATCTGGACCAAACTCAACACAAATACTCAATATGCCCAAATGCGAACCCTGGTGGAGTTTGGGGAAAATAGAATCTTGACATATGGGAGTTGTAGTTACTGGGAACTCCAACTCCCACCATTCTTCACAGCCCCAGGCCCTTTCCTTTTCCCCCTGTCTAAAGGTTGTTTTTGAAGGAATTCCCCAGTCCTTAATTCTAGCTGGTGGTCTCCCACCCAAGTCTTGGCCAGAGCAGACCCTGCTTAGCAGCCAATGCCCGGGGAGGGGGGAGGGGGCTGCGGTGTGGCCCTCCCCCACTGACCCTTTCCTTCCCCTTCCCTTGCAGCCCGCCCGGAGGCCTCTACGGCATCGACAGCATGCCGGACCTGCGCAAGAGGAAGCCCATCCCGCTCGTCAGCGACCTGGTGAGAAGGGGGGGGGGGGCTTGGACCTGAAATGCTAGAGAAGGAAATGTGTCTTGGGGTGCATTTGTCAGGCATACATTTGGGTTCCTTTCTGCTGATCACAATTAGAGGGTGGGCGGGGGGTGGGGTGGGGTGGAGGTGTCAACCCAAGGACCTCCCCCCCCCCTCTTTTTCAGTGGAAAAACCAGTCATATTAAAACGCCTGCTAATCCCCAGGGTGGAGATTGTGCTAAGAGAGCAAAGGGAACCCCTTCTCAAGGAGCTGCTTCCCAAACCCCCCAACTGTGGGTCATGCACCCCTCAGAAAGGACACTTCCAAGGCCTTCCTTCGGAGGATTTTCCTGGCCTCTGTTTTGATTCTGTTTCCAGGACGGGAGATTGTTGAAAACATTCCCAAAGTCCTAAGGGCCTCATTGTATGAAGCTTCCGGATTTTACCTTGTCCCCAGAGTCCTTTTCCTCCGCCCCAAATGGATTTGTTGGGGGACATCTCGGGCCTTATTTTGGGGTTTACCTTCCAGGTGCCCTGACTGTTGGTGACTAGGGCTTCAGAAAGGCAGCTCTGGCCTGCTCTTCCGCGCTATGTTTCCCAAAGGACCCCGAGGTGGGGAAGGGGCTTTGGGGTGGTGGTGGAGGGGCGTGCATTGGAGCCCCTTCCCAGAATAGGGGATCTCCACTGAGGGGAATCCATTCCCTGGGGGCGAAAGGGGCATTGGCGTGCAGAAGAAGGGCCAGGGAGAGAGGTCAGTCTGCACTAACGAACGCCTTATCAGTAACCTGTTGCGCTTCTCTTGTACGCTGGCCTTGCCTTCCCACAGGCCATGGTAAGTGAGACCAGCGCCTGAACACTCCCTCCCAGTGCCCCCCCCCCACAAACACCATATTTGTGTATCCCTCCTCCTCCCCCCCCCATGAAACCCCATCATCTCTCACCTTCCAAGTGTTGCTTTCCACAGCGTGGTCCATGGCAGGCACTCCCCTATCTCACCTTCCATCCCCCCCCCAAAAAAATAACCCCCCACTACCGACCTGTCCACCTTGAGCCTCCCGTCCTCTCCCTTCACTGCTTGGAGCCGGGAGAAGCCTGTGGCCCTGCTGTTGCTGCTCCCCATTGGGCCCAGAGGCTGGGTGGGGAGCCATGGGGCGGAGGGCCAAGGGCAATGGTCAGGCTTGGCAGAGAGGCCCCATGGCCCGCTCCTGCCTGTGTGTCCGTGCATGGAGCCCCACACGAGGGCACTGGGTCCAGCCCTGTGGGGTTTCCCAGCTAAGGAAGTGAATGGGGTGAATGTGGGGCGAGGCATGTGCAGGCAGGAAGCAGAGAGAGCAGTGGGAAGCAGGTGGGCATAATGGGAGGGAAGAGGGCTGTTAGGAATTGTGGGAGTTGAAGTCCAAAACACCTGGAGGGAGGACCAAAGTTGGCCCATGCCTGATCGACATGGAGGGTGTCCATCCAGGAAGACATGGCAGGGGTGGACTAGATGCCCTGAGGCCCCTCCCAAGCCTAGCGTACTGCAATCTGGCCTTGGCTGACCGTCTTGGCCGGCACCTCAGGTAGTGCTGTTTTAGAACATAGTGATTCCACTTGGGCCCCAGGGGTGGCTGGTCAATACACAGCAATCCTTACGTTCCAAGAATCCAGGGTTCCGGTCCTGAGGGAGGGGGCTGTTGACCCCGACCCTCCATTCACAGTCTGCAGGCCTCCTCTTGGTCCGTGGCCCAAGTAACTGTGTCTCCTGTCCTTTCCAGTCGCTGGTCCAGTCCCGGAAGGCCGGAATCACCTCTGCGATGGCCACCCGAACATCCCTCAAGGACGAGGAGCTGGTAAGGAGGGGGCTCTGGTCAGTCCTGGGGGAAGGGAAGGTGGACGTAGGTCCTGGGGCACAAAGTGGATGGGTGTTGTTCTCCAAGGCTGGGAAGCACCTCTGTACTTAACACACACTCCAGTCCAAGGTAAAATAGCAAATCAGTCAATTGAAGAATATATATGAAAAGGATTTCAACAAAATAGCATAAATCCAAAACATGAGATTCAGGAACAGTCCTTAAAACTTGGAAGCATTGAACATGAACAGAGGAAACATGGAACTAGAAATCCCTAGCAAGCTTCACTTGGCAGGAGATGTCTCCTCAAGCACCAACGTTGCCTACACTGGCCAAATACCCTTTTGGCGTCTTGACCTTTGCAAACTCTCCCGAGAAGCTCTATGTTGACGGAACGTAAATCTCCTATCTAACGGCTCATTATATTAGTCGGTCCACTGGGAATCTCAACCCACCCCAGCTCAGCTCTGTTTCTAACCTTGATTCCCTAGCAAACAGCCTTTCAGGAATGTGGCCTTCAGGCAGTGACCGCCCAGTTTCAGGGCTTAACATCTCCTGCTGGTTTGCAGGCCCAGAATCCCCATCAGGCTGGCTTGGAGGCCCAGAATCCCCAGTGGCATCAGGTGCAGGCACCATCGAAGGCTGAACTACAGCCGTGGGCCCCATTGAGCCCCACTGAGTGGCTGCCGGCCAAAGCGCATAGACCTCACTACCTTTGCGGATGCTTGCCATAGATGCAGGCGAAACGTCAGGAGAGAATGCCTCTAGAGCATGGCCATATAGCCCGAAAAAAAAACCTACAACAAAGCCTTCGACAATGCATTGACTTCTATTCTATCAGGCTGGGCAAGAAGGTCCTTCCTTCCTTCCTTCCTTCCTTCCTTCCTTCCTTCCTTCCTTCCTTCCCTCCCTCCCTCCCTCCCTTCCTCCCTTCCTTCCTTCCTTCCTTCCTTCCTTCCTTCTTGGCCAGGAGAGAGCAAAATAGCACGGAAAGTGAGGCGATGTGGGGGGGGGGGGGGTCTTTGAAAAGTACAAAAGGTGCCCTCCCACAGAAAGCCGTTACAAGAACAATGGGGTGTGTGTGAGTGGGGGTCATGATCCATTATTTATGGGGAGCTGCCAAGGGAACGGGCGCAGCAGCAGCAGTGGGGGCGGCACAAAGCGCGCTCTCCACCAAGGTTCAGCCAGAAAGCGCAGCCGTTCACTCCCGGGGTGGCTTCCCTCCCTCCCTCCCTTCTTTTCAGAAATCCCACGTCTACCGGAAGACCCTGCAGGCCCTGATCTACCCCATCTCCTGCACCACGCCCCACAACTTCGAGGTCTGGACGGCCACCACCCCCACCTACTGCTATGAGTGCGAGGGGCTGCTCTGGGGCATCGCCCGGCAAGGCATGCGCTGCACCGAGTGCGGGGTCAAGTGCCACGAGAAGTGCCAGGACCTGCTCAACGCAGACTGCCTACAGAGTAAGCGACACATAATGCTCCTAGGAGGAGAAACGCGGTTGTTGTTGTTGTTGTTCAAATTGCATTGATGCACTTTCCCCCCATTGCCTGCCTGCATTGTAAGGCTGGAAGAGACGGTCAGGATCTTCCCATCTAGGACAGTGATTCTCCACCAGTGCTCCACGGACCACCAGTGGTCTGCAAAAACTAAAATATGGTCTGCAAAACATTGAAAATCTCAAACCTTTATTCATGTTAATGAATCCGTTGCTATGCAGGTGTCACCGGCGCATAGGGCGGAGGGTGAGCGCGGGAGGCCGGGGGGAGGGCAAGTGACCAATGCCACGTGTCCTGTACCCACAACACCCAGGGTCAGTCATTTGCAGACATTCGTTTGTCTTGCTTGGCTGTGTCAGTGATTCTGTTTTGCTCGTTAGTGATTCGATGGCTCCAGTAGTTTTACCAACCGTGAGTCCTCAATATCCATATTAATTTTGGCCTTATTTAATACTAAATCGTGGTCCCTGCTAACAATCTTGTGGTCCTTGCTAACAACACAAAAATCAAAGTGGTCCCTGGTCAAAAAAAAAGGTTGGGAATCACTGATAGAGGAAGCTACCATCCAATCCCTCCCAGCAGATGGCCATCCAGCCTGTATGTAAATACCTCCAGAGAAGGAAGGGGACTCCAGCAGACTTTTCCACAGTCAAACAGCTCCTCCTTTCAGGAGGTTCTTCTTAATCAGCCATGGGCAACCTTGGGCCTTCCCTCTAGATGTTTTGGACTCTAATACAAGCAAGAAAATCAGGAATATATTGATCCAAGGCTTGGGTAAGCAATCGTGAGACACAGGAGTCAGAACCATGAAACAAGAAATACCTTAGCATGACACTTCAAAGCAAGGCTTCTGTGAAACTAGGATGAGAACTTGGCGTGATTCTAAATGATGCTTCATCTGACTACACATCCCAAGCTTGAGACTTTTATCCCCTCGTTAGCTAAGTCACTAGCGGTCGAAGCCTGGCAGAGCGCTTCAGCGGCGGAGGAGGAAAAGGAAGGCTCAAGAGCAGGACGTGTGAAAAAGATCTTAGAGTCCTCGTGAACAACAAGTTAAACATGAGCCAGGAATGTGATGTGGCGGCAAAAAAAGCCAATGGGATGTTGGCCTCAGGCATCAAGAGGAGCCTAATGTCTAGGTCCAAGGAAGTCCTGCTCCCCATGCTCTATTCTGCCTTGGTTAGATCACTTTACCTGGAATATTGTGTCCAGTTCTGGGCACCACAATTCAAGAGAGATATTGACTCTAAGCTGGAATGTGTCCAGGGAGGGCGACTCAAATGATCCAGGGTCTGGAGAACAAGCCCTATGAGGAGAGGCTTAAGGAGCTGCTGGGCATGTTTAGCCTGAAAAAGGCTGAGAGGGGATATGATAGACATGTATAAATATGTGAGAGGAAGCCACAGGGAGGAGGAGGGAGCAAGCTTCCTTTCTGCTTCCCTGGAGACTAGGACGCAATGGAGGAATGGCTTCAAACTCCAAGAGAAGAGATTCCACCTGAACACAAGGAAGAACTTCCTGACTGTGAGAGCCGTTCAGCAGTGGAACTCTCTGCCCCGGAGGGAGTGTGGTGGAGGCTCCTTCCTTCTTTGGAGGCTTTTAAACAGAGGCTGGGTGGCCATCTGCCAGGGGTGCTTTGAATGCAATATTCCTGCTTTTTGGCAGAATGGGGTTGGACTGGAGGATGGCCCAGGAGGTCTCCTCCAACTCTAGGATTCTAGGATTCTATGAAGGGGCCTGAGGCTGTGAGGAATGGTGGGAGTTGAAGTCCAAAACCCAAGTTGACCCATGCCTTGTCCTCTTGGAAGTGGAAACTTCAGTCAATCAAGGGGTCACCTGCATACCCAGCTTGCCCGTGGCTGTTCTTAATGCATTGGACGAAATCTCTTTGCCTGCAATTTGAATTCCTCGCTCTGTGCCGTAGTGTCTCCACCAACGTAACGCCCTCTTCCCCTTCCTTCCTCCTCAGCGTGACCTCCTTTCCAACATGTCTGTCACGTCCCCTTCTCTTTTCCAAGATAAATACCCCCCCCCCACCCTCCTCAGGGGGGTCCATGGCTTCCAGACCTCTGGCCGTTTTGGTGACCCTTCTCTGGGCGCCTCCCAGCTTGTCCGTCTCGTTCTTGAACCCCGGAGTCTTAGGGTCAAGCGGTGTGAGTTGATGGGCCGCATTGTGTCTGAAGCGTGACTTCGAGCGGGGATGACCGGCAGCCCCGTTTCCATGGCAGGCCCCACAGCCCCCCCCCCCACTCCTCCTCCTTCTTGCCAAGTTGAGGACAGAGACACTTTGAGCCGCTTTCCGGGGGAGTGGGCGCAGCAGCCGTTTGCAGCAGCCCTGGCCTCCAAAATAGGAGCCTCGCAGGGGTGTTGTGTGAGTGGTTTCCAGGCTCTTCGGCTTTGCAGGCGAAATGTCAGGAGAAAAGGCTGCCAGAACATGCCATGCAACACCCCAGTGAGGCAGCCGGCAAGTGTTGGCTCAAGCTCCGGTTGTGATGTGCTAAGATTCCTAGATCCCTTTCTCATATACATTGGGCACGGGCAAACTTCGTCTCTCCAGGTGTTTTGCACTTCAACTCCCACAGTTCCTAATAGCCTACCAGGATTCCGCTCCTGTTGAGGAGCGCGTGGCTGGGTGCCATGGGGAGATTCTCCCCCGTGTTGGCGCTGGGTGCCGAGGCAGGCGACTGTGACAGCGATGATGGTGGTGGTGGTGGTGGTGGTGATGAAAGCCCCTCCTTGGAGCACCAGTTTTGTGGTGGGGCTCTCTGCCAGGGAGAAGGGGGGGGGCTTAGTTTGCAATCCCATTTTGCCTATTTTGGGCTCCAAGAACAAATCCTCTCCAGGCGCCTCCCCCCCCCCCGCCTGCCTCCCACCCAACAGATGTCCCCGCTCTCTCTCCTCCGTCAGCGTGTTTGGGGGGAGACGGGTCTTTCTCCTTCACGGCAAGTGACGCTCGCTCTCTCAAGGAGGAGGAGGGATTTCGGGGGAAGGGGGGTGCTCGCGTGGAGGGCATCCCCGCTTCCGGCGTGCCTTTCTTGGGTGCATGGAATCATAGAATCCAAGAGTTGGAAGAGACCTGGTGGTCCATCATCCAGACCAACCCCATTCTGCCAAGAAGCAGGAATATTGCATTCAAATCTCCCCTGACAGATGGCCATCCAGCTTCTGCTTAATAATAACAATAACAACAACAACAACAATAATAATAGAATCAAAGAGTTGGAAGAGACCTCGTGGGCCTTCATCCAGTCCAACCCCATTCTGCCAAGAAGCAGGAATATTGCATTCAAATCACTCCTGAGAGATGGCCATCCAGCCTCTGCTCCAAAGCCTCCAAAGAAGGAGCCTCCATCACACTCTGGGGCAGAGAGTTCCACTGCTGAACGGCTCTCACAGTCAGGAAGTTCTTCCTCATGTTCAGATGGAATCTCCTCTCTTGTAGTGTGAAGCCATTGTTCCCTTGCGTCCGAGTCTCCAGGGAAGCAGAAAGGAAGCTTGCTCCCTCCTCCTCCCTATGACTTCCTCTCACACATCATAACCCTCATCATATCTCCTCTCAGCCTTCTCTTCTTCAGGCTAAACATGCCCAGCTCCTTGAAGCCGCTCCTCATAGGGTTTGTTCTCCAGACCTTTTATCATTTTAGTCACTCTCCTCTGGACACATTCCAGCTTAGAGTCAACATCTCTCTTGAATTGTGGGGCCCAGAATTGGACACAATATTCCAGGTAAAGTGGTCTAACCAAAGCGGAATAGAGCATGAGGATCATAGAATCCTAGAATCCTAGAGTGGGAAGAGACCTGGTGGGCCATCCTCCAGTCCAACCCCATTCTGCCAAGAAGCAGGAATATTGCATTCAAAGCACCCCTGACAGATGGCCATCTAGCCTCTGCTTAAAAGCTTCCAAAGAAGGAGCCTCCACCACACTCCCTCCAGGGCAGAGAGTTCCACTGCTGAACAGCTCTCGCAGACAGGAAGCTCTTCCTCGTGTTCAGATGGAATCTCCTCTCTTGTAGTTTGAAGCCATTGTTCCATTGCGTCCTAGTCTCCAGGGAAGCAGAAAGGAAGCTTGCTCCCTCCTCCTCCCTGTGGCTTCCTCTCACATATTTATACATGGCCCTCATCATATCTCCTCTCAGCCTTCTCTTCTTCAGGCTCAACATGCCCAGCTCCTTAAGCCTCTCCTCATAGGGCTTGTTCTCCAGACCCTGGATCATTTGAGTCGCCCTCCTCTGGACACATTCCAGCTTAGAGTCAACATCTCTCTTGAATTGTGGTGCCCAGAATTGGACACAATATTCCAGGTAATGTGGTCTAACCAAGGCGGAATAGAGCATGGGGAGCAGGACTTCCCTGGACCTAGGCACTATGATGCTCCTCTTGATGCCTGAGGTCAAAATCCCATCGGCTTCTTTTGCCGCCACATCCCATTCCTGGCTCACGTTCCCCTTCTTCCTCCCCACGAGGAGGACTCCAAGATCTTGTCCACAGGTCCTGCTCTCGAGCCAGGCCTCATTGTCCCCCATTCTGTCTCTTTGCATTTCGTTTTTCCTGCCTGGGTCACGACTGGGCCAAGCACATGGCGTTGTTCCCTTTGGACTCCTTTGCAGCCCTCTCAGGAAGCTGCACACCCCGCTGGGCTCAGGTTCGTCTTCCAAAAAGCAGCCCTTCTCTTTTGGGGGCAGCTCACAAAGCCAAGACGGTTCTAGGCAGCGCCCATTGGCACCCCGTGTCCAGGTTGAGGGCAGTCCCAGTTCCACTCGCTTCTGCTTTGGCCAGGCCTCCCCTCCCCCCCGCAATCCTGTGTCCAGTTCTGGGCAAAGTGAAGAAGGAGATGGACGGGAGGGAAGAGACGCAAAGGGCCCAAGGCCTGGAGACCGAGAATCCCCCCGAGGAACAGCCAAGGGAGCGGCAGCGGGTGTTCGTCTTGGAGAAAAGGAAGCTTCGAGAAGGAAGGGCACGTGAGAGCCACGTTCAAATGTTATTGAGGAAGGATGGAGGGGCAAGCCAGACCAGGACACCCGCGGGGCAGCCACAGATCTGAATGGCATGACAAGAAAGTCCAGCTTGCTGTCAGGAAGAATTTCCTGAGATAAGATCTTTTTGTCTGTGAAGTGTGCTCCTTTCCTTGAGTGGTGTCCGTCTTTCCCTGGAGGTTTCTAAGCGGAGGCTGAATGGCTATCTGTCGGGGATGTTCCTTTTTGGGATAAGAGTTAAAGATCCGTCCTCACTGACCCTTGGTTGCTTGAGTTGATTTTTGAGCAAAGTTTCTAGGCTGATCCATGGCTATTCTGACCAGTGATGAGTCACCTGCGTTGGAGCGCAGGGAGTCCTCCCGTTGCTTTGGCCCACAACAATAAGGATGAGGATGAGGACAGGTAGCGTCCCCCCAGGAAAGAAGGGCTGCCACACCATAGCACCAAACCAATGCAAGGCAGCGAGAGCACCACCTTGGGGCTTCCCCATTGGGTTCTGTGCCAGATTACATGGGGAACAGAGGAGAAAAAAGTTCCACAGGTGGGGGGCCACCGCTAAGAAGGCCCTGTCTCTCATCCCCGCCAAATGGGTTTGCAAAACTGGCGGAGCCGAGAGCGATCTTAAGCTGTGAGGTGGGACATAGAGGGAGACAAGCTTGGACAAGTAAGCTGGTTTCCCATTCAGTGGTTGACTCCTTAAAAGTCTCAGGTTGTGATCCAGGCTGTTCTGGGCCCTCTTCACCCACCAACGCACCCGCAGTACGAATGCAGTCCCCGGCCGGGCCCTCCTTGACCGCCTCTCTGTGTCTTCCGAAGGAGCGGCCGAGAAGAGCTCGAAGCACGGGGCGGAGGACCGCACCCAGAACATCATCATGGCCATGAAGGACCGCATGAAGATCCGGGAGAGGAACAAGCCGGAGATCTTTGACCTGATCCGGGACGTCTTCAGCGAGAGCAAGGCCACTCACGCCCAGCAGATGAAGACGGTCAAGCAGAGCGTCCTGGACGGCACCTCCAAGTGGTCGGCCAAGATCACCATCACCGGTGAGTGAGGGAGTGAGGGAGCAAGGGGCCCGATTGGGGTGGGAGTGGGGTGGGCGCAGAGGGGGGCCCAGGAGCAGAGGTGGGGCAGCCGTGGGGTGGTGGGGGTCCCCTCCCTTGGGCTGACGGGCGGCTCCTCTCGCCCGCAGTGGTCTGTGCACAGGGCTTGCAGGCCAAAGACAAGACGGGCTCCAGCGACCCCTACGTGACGGTGCAGGTGGGCAAGACCAAGAAGAGGACCAAGACCATCTTCGGGAACCTGAACCCCATTTGGGACGAGAAGTTCCACTTGTGAGTACTCCCCTTGGGACAGCCCCCCTCCCGACGCTCCTGCCGCTTGCTTTCCCGTCCTTTCCCGTCCTTCTTCTGCGGGTGTATAACGCCGTTGAAACAAAAACAGCCGAATCAAAACAAAGTCATAAAAAGGTGGGCGGGAGCTGATCATACGAGTCATGATAATACATTCAGATGGTATTAAAAGCCATCAAAATGACATTCAAAATTAGATTAAAATGCAGTGTGGCAGCAGGTGGACGGTAAAGCAGCAAATCAATATCCTCAGCTGCATAACCGGCGGCAGCAGAGAACGGGCAGCTGGTGTGCTTCACCCTCAGAGTCTTCCGAGGTGGGGATTTGGGGGGGGGGGGGGAAACCTCGGAAGACTCTGAGGGTGAAGCACACCAGCTGCCCGTTCTCTGCTGTTGCCGGTTATGCAGCTGAGGATATTGATTTGCTGCTTTACTGTCCGCTTGCTCTGCTTTACGATCCTGTCATTGGACCGTTTGGGTCGCCGTTCCTCACCTGTCGTGTTTAGGAGACTGATCTAAAACCCTGCATTCCCTGATTGGAGTAAATGTGGGCCTGGCCCAGGTGTGGGAGGGAGACCCACTGGAACCCACATGCTTTATGGCTGGGCATGACCCCGTTAATCCAAATCCCAAATGCAAAGTCAAGCAATCCCACAAGCCTCTTCTTGCAGGGGAATCGTGCCTTTGCCCAGGAAATCATAGTCTGCCTCTCTTCTGCTTTAGTCAAAACTCTTGACCTGGAATAATAACTCTGTGTCCAGTTCTGGGCAAAGCCATTCAAGAAGGAGGTGGCCAAGATGGAAGGGGTCCAGAGAAGGGTGACTGAAATGGCCAAATGGCTGGAAACCACCAATCTCTGAGGGGCGGCTGAGGGAATGCGGGATTACCTTGAGGGAATGCGAGATGGTTACCTTGGATGGGTTACCTTGGATGCGGGATGGGATCACTCTGCTTGAGCATGTGAAGGAAAGGCATCGTGTGTGTGGTGGAGGGAGCCTGTTTTCTGCAGCTCCAGAGACTTGGGCACCTCAATCTTAGGAAGACCTTTTCTTCCCAAGAAATGCTGCACAGTGGACTAAATAGCGACCTTGGAGTATGGCGGCCCAGTGTTGTTGTTGTAGTGCAGCAAGTGGCTGTGGGTTTTTCTGATTTTTCTGACATTTCCGAGGACAAGGGATTTGATGGGTTGCAAAGTGACAAGTCTGTCAATGTTAGAAGGCAATCGCAGCCAGATGAGGCCGATGTTTTGGATTCATGTACTCGTTCCCAAGCAACAGGGGAATGGTCTCTTGGGAAACGACCTTTGGCTGATGAGGAGTTTTCACAAGAAACGAGATTAGGCTTGAGAACGGAAGGAGTGGAAAATAAACAAATTAGACGCTCTGAAAGAATCCATGAGATGACCTTGAAGCCCAGGTGCGTTCGGCATGATCTCATGGCTACTTGGTCAAGCTTCAATTAAGGAGCACTGGCTTCAGGCCTTTACTGAGGAAATCATAGTCTGCCTCTCTTCTGCTTTAGGCAGAACTGTTCACCTGGAATAATAACTCTGTGTCCAGTTCTGGGCAAAGCCATTCAAGAAGGAGGTGGCCAAGATGGAAGGGGTCCAGAGAAGGGTGACTGAGATGGTCAAATGGCTGGAAACCACCAATCTGATGGGCGGCTGAGGGAGCACAGAGTGGTTAGCTTGGATAAGAAGAGGTTGAGAAAAGGGGATGGGATTGCTCTGCTTGAGCATGAGAAGGAAAGGCATCGTGTGTAGGGTGGAGGGAGCCTGTTTTCTGCAGCTCCAGAGACTTGGGCAAGAGAAGAGTTTCCACCACAAACCAAGGAAGACCTTCTCTTCCCAAGAACTGCTACACAGTGGATTAAATTGTGACCTCAGAGTTTGGTGACCCGTTGTTGTTGTTGTTGTTGTTAATACCCTGCTTGTTGTAGCGCAGCAAGTGGTTGAGGATTTTTCTGATTTCTCTGACATTTCAGAGGACAAGGGATTTGATGGGTTGCAAAGTGACAAGTCTGTCAGTGTTAGAAGAGAATCGCAGCCAGATGAGGCCGATGTTTTTGGATTTGTGTACTCGTTCCCAAGCAACAGGGGAAGGTGAACCTACTAGGTCTCTTGGGAAACGACCTTTGGCTGATGGGGAGTTTTCACAAGAAGCTAGATTAGGTTTGAGAACAGAAGGAGTGGAAAATAAATGAATTAGACGCTCTGAAAGAATCCATGAGAAGATCTTAAAGCCCAGGTGCGTCCGGCACGATCTCATGGGTACTTGGTCAAGCTTCAATTAAGGAGCACTGGCTTCAGGCCTTTACTGAGGAAATCATAGTCTGCCTCTCTTCTGCTTTAGGCAGAACTGTTCACCTGGAATAATAACTCTGTGTCCAGTTCTGGGCAAAGCCATTCAAGAAGGAGGTGGCCAAGATGGAAGGGGTCCAGAGAAGGGTGACTGAGATGGTCAAATGGCTGGAAACCACCAATCTGATGGGCGGCTGAGGGAGCACAGAGTGGTTAGCTTGGATAAGAAGAGGTTGAGAAAAGGGGATGGGATCGCTCTGCTTGAGCATGAGAAGGAAAGGCATCGTGTGTAGGGTGGAGGGAGCCTGTTTTCTGCAGCTCCAGAGACTTGGGCAAGAGAAGAGTTTCCAACACAAACCAAGGAAGACCTTCTCTTCCCAAGAACTGCTACACAGTGGATTAAATGGTGACCTCAGAGTTTGGTGACCCGTTGTTGTTGTTGTTGTTGTTGTTGTTGTTGTTAATACCCTGCTTGTTGTAGCGCAGCAAGTGGTTGAGGATTTTTCTGATTTCTCTGACATTTCAGAGGACAAGGGATTTGATGGGTTGCAAAGTGACAAGTCTGTCAGTGTTAGAAGAGAATCGCAGATGAGGCTGATGTTTTTGGATTCGTGTACTCATTCCCAAGCAACAGGGGAAAGTGAACCTACTACGTCCCTTGGGAAACAACCTTTGGCTGATGGGGAGTTTTCACAAGAAGCGAGATTAGGCTTGAGAACGGAAGGAGTGGAAAATAAACAAATTAGACGCTCTGAAAGAATCCATGAGATGACCTTGAAGCCCAGGTGCGTTCGGCATGATCTCATGGCTACTTGGTCAAGCTTCAATTAAGGAGCACTGGCTTCAGGCCTTTACTGAGGAAATCATAGTCTGCCTCTCTTCTGCTTTAGGCAGAACTGTTCACCTGGAATAATAACTCTGTGTCCAGTTCTGGGCAAAGCCATTCAAGAAGGAGGTGGCCAAGATGGAAAGTGTCCAGAGAAGGGTGACTGAAATGGCCAAATGGCTGGAAACCACCAATCTCTGAGGGGCGGCTGAGGGAATGCGGGATTACCTTGAGGGAATGCGAGATGGTTACCTTGGATGGGTTACCTTGGATGCGGGATGGGATCACTCTGCTTGAGCATGTGAAGGAAAGGCATCGTGTGTGTGGTGGAGGGAGCCTGTTTTCTGCAGCTCCAGAGACTTGGGCACCTCAATCTTAGGAAGACCTTTTCTTCCCAAGAAATGCTGCACAGTGGACTAAATAGCGACCTTGGAGTATGGCGGCCCAGTGTTGTTGTTGTAGTGCAGCAAGTGGCTGTGGGTTTTTCTGATTTTTCTGACATTTCCGAGGACAAGGGATTTGATGGGTTGCAAAGTGACAAGTCTGTCAGTGTTAGAAGAGAATCGCAGATGAGGCTGATGTTTTTGGATTCGTGTACTCATTCCCAAGCAACAGGGGAAAGTGAACCTACTACGTCCCTTGGGAAACAACCTTTGGCTGATGGGGAGTTTTCACAAGAAGCGAGATTAGGCTTGAGAACGGAAGGAGTGGAAAATAAACGAATTAGACGCTCTGAAAGAATCCATGAGAAGATCTTAAAGCCCAGGTGCGTCCGGCACGATCTCATGGCTACTTGGTCAAATTAAGGAGCACTGGCTTCAGGCCTTCTGGAGGAGACAACGTTGCCAACATTTTTTTTATTGTATTGTATTGTTGTTGTTGTGTTTTACTGATGTATTTGGGCTCGGCCTCTTTTAAGCCGCACCGAGTCCTTCAGGAGATGGTAGCGGGGTATAAATAAAGGACTACTATTATTATTATTTATTTATTTATTTATTTATTCACTTATATCCCGCCCATATCAGCCCGCAGGCGACTCAGGGCGGTCTACATATCGGCACAATTCGATGCCATCAATACAATACGAAAGCAAAAACAATTAAGTGCATTTAGACAAAAGAGACAGTGCAATAACAATTTAAAAAGAGCTCTATCCTCTCATTCCAATCCTCATCTGTTTCGTCGTCTTGGCCGTTCCTGGGTCATTTTCCATCTCAAGCTTGACTATCTATTCCGGGGTTCCGAATGCCTGCTCGAAGAGCCAGGTTTTCACTCTCTTACGAAAGGTCAGGAGGGAGGGGGCTGATCTAATATCCCTAGGCAGGGAGTTCCACAGCCGAGGGGCCACCACAGAGAAGGCCCTGGGATCGAGAGCAGGGCCTCCTCAGATAGAATCATAGAATCCTAGAATCCTAGAGTTGGAAGAGACCTCAAGGGCCATCCAGTCCAACCCCATTCTGCCAAGAAGCAGGAATATTGCATTCAAAGCACCCCTGACAGATGGCCACCCAGCCTCTGCTTAAAAGCTTCCAAAGAAGGAGCCTCCACCACACTCCCTCCAGGGCAGAGAGTTCCACTGCTGAACGGCTCTCACAGTCAGGAAGTTCTTCCTCATGTTCAGATGGAATCTCCTCTCTTGTAGTTTGAAGCCATTGAAGCCAGATGATCTTAACTTCCTGGAGGGTTCGTAGGGTTCGTAGGAAGAGATGCGTTCGGATAGGTAGGCTGGGCCAGAACCGTTTAGGGTGGCTCTCCTGTCTCTGCTCTCAGGTTCGTGATTCAAGTATTCTCAGGTTTCCTGTTCTGGTTCATGCCTTGGTTTCTTTGAGGGTTTTGCTTTAGGAAAATTCTTCCGTTC